GTCCTACGTTCAATGCCAATGCCAGAAACTGAGAAAAGGTTAAGTCTTCTCTCATCTTCCTCACCTGACGAGCTAGCTGTATCTCCAGTGTACCTTCCACAATGGCATCCAGACATGTGTGAAGAAGCCAAGAAAGTGCCTAGACCTACCCAGATCTCTGTGGGTTTTCAGCTGAACAGGAGATAAAATTCTCTTTTGCTTGTCAGCTACATGATTTTTTCCCTCTGGAAACCTCTGAACCAAAGGTAAGTTCGACACATCTTGAGGACTTGTCTTTATAATAAAGACAGGCTTCCAATTTAGAAAAAGCTGTTTCTCTTTCTTTTTGCAGTACAAGACAACTGACTGCTTTATGCATTGAGTTAATTAGGCCAGATACAAATAAAAGATGTGGCTATCAGCCCCTCCTCTACGCAGCTCTGATTTGTTTGCCACTTGCCTGGTGGAGGTCATTGTCACTGATTACCTTTACACTTCACTTGACAAATGCTCTCCTGCACACTGAACGCTGCTCCTACAGACAGCAGGGAACTACAGTCAGTCCAGGCGAAGTCAAGAAGCCCCCTAGATCTTAATTATAAAACCATAAAAGAAACCAACTGCCTCTGAAGCTCTCTTACCAGGAAACAAATGAGAATGGGAAATTTATTTCCAACCATAAATCCCAAACCCTTCAGTTTAATTTTTCCCAAGTTAACTTTCTCACCTAGCTAAGCAGCACTGCCTTCTATTATTAGCTTCTGGCCCAGTATCAGCTGACCACAATCAGTCAAACTGTCTTCATCTCAATGAGCTCAGGGACTCCCAAGGAACTCGGTGTATGCAGACTGGTGCTTGCAGCCTCTAATTATTTTCTAACAGATAATGGAGCATTTAAGTTCAGAGAGGATAGATTAAACTTGTAAGTGGATCAAAGCCCCGGACAGAATCGCTGCTCACAGGATTACTTCCTGGTAACACGAAGCTTAGAGGGCTAGAGAGGAAAGGTCCTCATCAATTGCCTGTTTCCCCATGACACATCAGTTTAAAGATACATATTTTTTAGCCTCAAAGGTGGTTTACTATGCTTTCTAACTATGCCTCTTCTGCCCTGGAGAAGGCAGTACGGGTCACCTGGCAGACTTCAGCTTGCCCTGTTGTAAGAGACATGGACTATTGCAGTGATAAAAACTATGTAAGAAAGCAGAGAGCAGGGTAAAAGAAAAAGAGCTAGCTGGGAATGTGTGAAGAAAAACTCTGCTGCAACTCACTGAAGACAAATTCCAAATAGGGGATGCACTTTTTGATGATGCTCAATTCATCATCCCCTGATGGGAGGAGGGTGGAAGGTGTATGGCCACAGCAGGTGCTAACATCAGGCATTACATCATTATAGTCATTACAGATCCATTAGTGAGTGTTCAAGGTGCTGAAATGACAGCCCTGTAGCCAAACTGTTGTTCTTTACTCTTTTAGCATAACGTTTAGCAGAATTTCAGGAGGGCACTCAGACTTACATTCTGCCAACACTGTAAGTTTTAACTAGAGCCTTTGGACAACGCCTCTAACATCTATACCAGCTCTTTCTGTAGACACTGAAGTGTCCCAAGTACTCTCGCTGTACACAAACCACTGTTTCCAAGAGGCTTTACATTTCCCAGAGCCCCCCTAAAAGGAAAGCTAAGTTTTACTTGCAAGTATAAGGACTTACACAATCGAGAGATAAGTAAACGCTGACAAAAGCACACCTGTACTTGACAAGTACAAATATCTGTGTGACTCATACAATGACATCTCCTTCCCACTAACCTCCTCTTCCCCATTCATAACCAACATGCCAGACACTTAAGAGTTAATCCCCTCTACGTTCATGATGGCACTTAGCCATCTATATATCTTTAAAAAAAATCTGATACAACGGCTTTTAACCAAGAACCACTACTCAGAATACTCTTTTTACTGAAATCACAACTGATGCATTTTGCTTTCATACATACACTTAAATTTTCCTCATAAAATAACACGAGTAAACAGTATCAAGTTTTATCAGGACAGTTATACTGACCAAAGCCTTGGAGTGAGAATGAGTAAGCCACATTTTTCTATTGTAACTTACTCTTCTAGAAAAGATACTTTAATTATCTCCTCGTAACAGCTTAAAATTTTAAAAAGCTTAAAACTATTCCTTTCTGGGACAGAGAGAAGCAGTCATTCCCTTTAAAAATGTGGCTTGTTTCAGGAAATAAATGACTGGGTTAGGAGGTGGGGACAGCAGGAGCATCTGTGCAATTGCATGAGCAATTATTTCAAACGAATGAAATTAAATCATCTTCTCCATCAATGCAGTCCAGCAAAGGATGTTACAGACCCCTGTGCATAGATCGAACGCAGCATTGACACAAAACACCTTATTCCTCCTTACTGTAACATATTAACTAATGATGAAGTCCAATTCTTTTTTATTATGATTAAAAATAACCTTTAGGTTACTATTAACCTCCAAGACTAAAAATAACTAACTTTTCTCTCACCTTGTCACCACTGGGTCAGAGACTCAAGAGCAACTGTTAAAGAGAAACCTTTCCCAGTGTGGCTGTACCTTACATAGTTAAAATCTCTAAAGTTTCCAAAAAACCTTCGTAATTTCTGAGCCATTTATCAGCTGTTGTGATGCGTAGGCTGGAGGGAAACATGGTCTAGTGCATTTCGTCAGCTGATCAAGCTGAGCTATGAAACCTCACACAAGTAACTTCGTCTTTTAACAGGACCTTACAAGCGCTTCAAGGCTAATCAATATCAGAGAAGGACATATTACTATTATTTCTCTACCAGATCGAGGTCAGATCCTCAGCTGGAACAAGTTGCTCAGTTCCACTGACTTTCGTACAGTGACAACAATTCCCTTGTCCTGAGGCTGGAACCTATATCGCTGACTGCCAGCATCAGACACGGAGCACAGGTTGCATCCAGCGCCCTTGTTCTCCCTGCACGTTCACTTCAAACGGGTGCTGAACACCCGCTCTCCTCTTTCTGGAGCTCTACCATTAACAACACTCTTGATCGTTTCTTTTTTGTCCATTAAGCAAACATCTAATCCTCTTTACTCCTTTAGGGCAATTAATTCCTTTTGAACAGAGCCAAAATGTCTTTTTTTTTTAATTTGTGCACAATAATTACTGGTTAGTAGGTCGAGAGAGGTTCTCCTCCCCCTCTACTCTGCCCTGGTGAGGCTGCATCTGGAATACTGTGTCTAGCTCTGGGCCCCTCAGTTCAAGAAGGGCAAGGAACTGCTTGAGAGAGTCCAGCGCAGGGCCACAAAGATGATGAAGGGAGTGGAGCATCTCCCTTCTGAGGAAAAGCTGAGGGAGCTGGGTCTCTTTAGCTTGGAGAAGAGGGGACTGAGGAGGGACATCATTAATGTTTATAAATATGTAAAGGGTGACTATCATGAGGATGGAGCCAGGCTCTTCTCAGTGGCATCCAATGATTGGACAAGGGGAAATAGATATAAGCTGGAACATAGGAGGTTCCGCTTAAACATGAGAAAGAACTTCTTCCCAGTAAGGGTATCAGAACGCTGGAACAGGCTGCCCAGAGAGGTTGTGGAGTCTCCTTCTCTGGAGATGTTCCAAACCCACCTGGACGCGTTCTTGTGTGATCTGATCTAGGTGGGCCTGCTCCGGCAGGGGGATTGGACTACATGATCCTTTGAGGTCCCTTTCAATCCCTAACATTCTGTCAACGTCATCAACATAAATATGCAGTGCTCTGTAAAAAGCACAGGAAATACTTTCATCTATACAGCTTCAATTCAGTTGCTTAAGAATTCACACGTGATAATTTGTCCGAAATAGCTAAATTCATAACTGTACATTTCTACTCATTTCTAGATGGAAGAACAGACTATATAATGGGAGTACATTCTCCTTGTCGTTTACAGTCTCATTAATGCAAACCAAATTAAGCCTATACACTGAACAGATCTTCAAGACTTAAAAGTCCTATATAATTTCCAAGTTCACAAAAGGGATTTACAAAAAAGTGCAAATTTCTATGATTTGTCACAAAATTGTCACTGAATAGGACATCCACATGCACCGAGTCAACAAGGCTTGATGTTGACATGGAGCTAAAAACTGAGCGCATGGTCTCTGTGCACATAGAACATTAATGAAAATTATGATCTTGACCTCTCATTAACAGTATTTCATATTAGTAAAGCAAAAAGGCTTTTAAAATTGAGCATATTTTATTTTTTTCCCCTCCCTCTCTGTTATGCTTTGCTGCTGCTGCCAGCTCTCAGACTCTCAGTGCTTAGCTCCCAGGAACACTGAAGCAGAAGAGAGTTGAGGCCAACTTTCTGTTCCTTTGAGTTCCTGCACACATGGTAAGATGCTCCCCTGCAACTCTGTCTCTCTCGTCTCTAGCTTCTCTGCCATGGCAAGATAAAACATCTGGCACGTGAGACAGAGGAGTTTCTGCCTTCCACTGATGGGAAGACCATTTATAAGAAAATTACAAACACCTTAGGGTCCATAACATCTGCTCGGAGAAAAATCCAGTGAGCCCTTCAGTACCATGGCATTGGTATTGCCCCGGTAGGTAGCTCTGGAACGGAATGATCTACATGCAATACACTGAACAGGGCAGAGCACTGTACAGACCTGCCTAGCTCTACAGCTTCAGAGAAGCAGCACTGACCTACCTGCAGCTGAAGTGTGACCTTGGTTAGCTGGTTTTGTTTGCTTGAACATCGCATTAATACTGAGACAGCTTGTCGAAGACTAGGGGAAGGGGGGAGACGGCCCACACGCAACATCACAGCGGCTGAGTTTTTCTAGGGACATGATATTGTAGCACTCGCTGAACACCAGCATGACACTGGTGCTGTGTACAAGCCTCCTACTATTTGAATGTAAGTAAAGAGAACTGGCAAAGCCCTCTTTACAATCTCCGTGGACCACAGAAAGACACCCTCCTCCCCCCTCCAAACTCAAAGACACCGATCATCTCTTACTTACATCCATAAACTCCACATTGGCTTTCGGACCAGTGGTCTCATTAAGGATCTTAATAGCCACAGGAATCTTTACGGTTTCTCCCTCAGGGACCCAAATACCCTAGAAACAGGAAAAAAGCAACAGAACACGAGTAAGACAACAATCATAAAAACTTCAGAGTTACAGTTCTTTTTGATGCATTCTGTCACGTTATGCAGATCAGTTATCAACCTCAGAACTGAGAATACACAAAATAAGCTATAAAACAGTAAAAATTCCACAGAAGTACTTCTTACACCAAAGGTAAACCCTTATGTAAAATTAAAGATTTTATATCAGTAAATGTTGTCATTAGGCCTCCTTGATTTTCCTGTCCACAACCGGGATTCTACAGAGTAATGTCAGCATATCAGTGATGCACATACAAATTTCACTGACTACTGATAAAATTAAAGAAAAAAATCTGGATTTTCTGTTCTGGACTCTGATGCTAAACTCACTGAAGCTATCAGAAAACTCTCAAAACTGATTATCAACAAGTCATACTACCATGCAGGAACAGGAGACCCTGCGAACAATGTATTTAGAGTATAACATTTAAGAGTTATTTCTCCAATTAATGGATATCTGAAATTTAAAAGCTTAGACAGCTAAAAAGTAAATTTTAAAACTCAAATGCACAAACTGTGTGTCTCGGACTATTTTTCTATCCTTCTTGACTAGTGTTGTGTTCTTGGCAACCTCATGGTACCCATCTCTGCAGCTTTATTATTGTCTACGTATATTCAAACTGATTATTCAAAAAATGTATTCCCATGACCTTGTAGCTGTAGTGACCTAGCCACTAGATTTGTCTGACTTGCTCATTAAGCCCTACTTAGTGCCTATGAGACTTGGGCACGATGAACAGATCTTAGGAAAAAAAAAAAATCTCTAACTGATGTATTTTTTCCCTTGTGGGTTCTGCTCTTACACTCTGGTTGTTAAAAGGTGCACGGACATAACTCATCTCTTCCATTTAAACGTAAGAAACAAAAATTACTAGAGTTTTGCTAATGACAGTATTGTTTTACAAGGTACGATTACTGTTACAAGACCCATGTGACACTCGTGAAATGAGAGACTGAGTTTACCTACCTTTCCAAACGTGTACTGTAAAGCCATTATGTAAGAACAGAATGACAAACTTCCATACTACATTTTAATATCAAGACAGCCCAGCCTGTGTAGTGCTCTGGCGAGCAAGGCTGACACTCCTTTTCTTACCAAAAAATAATATCTGCATGTCTGATTAAAACTGAACTTAATGCTTGAGCCTGCAGATGCGCTCCTTCCACTCAACTCCACTATCCTGAGTTTCCCAGACGTGTCGGGCTCATGAACCCGTCCACAGTAAGCGATGCCCACTGCAAATGCAGAACTTGGCTGTTCAAAAGGTAATGAGGGAACTCACTGCCGTGTATTGAAGACTCTTACCTTGTATACAGTTCCAAAGGCTCCAGAGCCAAGAACCTTGACTCGTTTCAGCTCAGTTTCCTTCAGGATACGAAGCTGTGCTTGGTTGGGTGCTGTGCCGCTTGGCGTCAAGGGTTCCACAAGCTATGAAGAAGATCCAACAGTCTTAAATATCTGAAACTATGAAGACCCATCAGAAGTCTGTACTCAAAATTACCAATTCAACTCAATACTGAAATGAGACAGTGGTGAGGTCTATTGAACTGCCAGCTTGTGGAGGGATTTTCTCACCTTTAGAAGTAAATGAGCAATGCTAAGAAACCTAGAGACCTGACAATGAAAATCCTCATTCGACATGTAATAATTTCCACCAGGAATTGTGTGATGGAATTACGAACTGGAAATTGAAATGGTGTCACAATAACGCACCCAAGGACTCCTGCTAATGGAGGCAGTATAAATATTTTCTACATGACAGAAATATAGCATTTATTATCAGTGCACCACATCCGATATTTGCCCATTTTAGTGGCTTTTAAGTTGGCCATATTTCTTTTTAATAGCCCTGGCTTAATGGCTCATCATGTTCTTATTCTGTTTTTGGGAAGGGACCATTTTCCGAACTTCTGTTATACCACACAGGACGACAGCTTTAAGGAGAAAACATCTTACAGCAGACCACTAATTTGTAACAGGCACTAATTTACTGCAAAAAAGGCACAATTAAACAATTAGCTCAAGATGTCCCAAGAAAATTTGTAAATGAGCCACAACGGCACATTCAGCTAAAAATGCTCTCAGACCTCAACGTTATACTGTCTCTGCCAGAAAAATAGTGCTTCTGTACAAATAAATTAAAAATACATGAAAAGGACAATCCTCTAAACAATGAAAAATAGTCTGTTGCTTTACAGGATGAGGAAAATAATTCAGGGCTACTCCTACTCAAATTGGTTTGAAAACACTGCAGTATTTCAAAATTGTCTGTTTTCACGGCTAAAGGCACCATGTTCTGCAGTTTGAGAACTACTTCCATGGCTCTTTGAGCACCATAAACTAATTAATTAGTTGACCAGACTACTTTGGTTCAGGTAAAAAGTATTGGTATCTGGAAATTACTGGAGTAAGAAAACATAACAAAACCCAACGGCAAGAAGTCAGGTTTCACAGAAATAATGTGTGAACTGTACTGTATTTGGAGGGATTTCTCTTTTCTCCTTCCCATTTTAGATGTCCAGTACTTACATCATGAAAGAAGAAAGGTTTATCGCAAAAGAAAAGCAGAAAGGCTGGCGGTACGGTTCGGTATTTTCAGTTTGTGAAGAGTGAAAACAGCTTCTGCACCACAGCCCACCAACACAGGTATGGCAGGGCGAAGTGTTGCGGGAGTCTAAAAAACACTTGTAGAGTTTTAGTGCAAATGATCCACAGAAAAATTAGATCTGTTGCAGCCTCCAGCTACAGACAGAGACTTTAGCTGAAGCTACAGTTGCTTGTGTCTTTATCTTGGGATGGTCCTGATTTTATCTTCAGTTTCTAAGCCAAGACAACAGCTTCCCCACATGTTCAGTAGGAGGCCTTGGTCCCTCAGGAACTGCTGTCAGCCACAGCTCTTTTCTGACCAAATGGAGAATGACAGCTGGACTTCAAAGCCAATACTTCTCAAATCCAATGAAAACTGCTTGCTTAAAATCATTTATGCTTAAGTAGCGGCTGATAAAATGACAAGATTTATGTACCTAAAGGCACCAAATATTGTTAAGCTTTCTATACCACCAAACGGTATTTAACAAGCAACAAATTCTTGCCAAGCATAAAGATACTTAGGCAAACAGACTGGGGATGCATAAATCATTTGCTCCCAGTCTCCACAATGGAGATGAGTGGGAGCAGGACCCTTGGAACAGAAGAGAGTATTGTTAAAAAAGCCTTAGTAAAGAATCACTAGCTAATATTATTTCCAAGCTTTATTATCTTACAAGGAGGACCCTCATTTAAAAATATCATCACTTGCAGAGTGTCTCAAGTTTAGGACTGAGGAGATGGTAGTAATCATCCTTGCTACAGCTGATATTAAGATTTAATGTCATGTTTAACTATACTCCCTAGATTGCCCCCTCCACTACCAGCATTTCAATAAGCAGGATGGAGTTGCTACAGCACTCCATCCTATAGCTCCACCGTATATTTTTGCCAGTAGAACGATAAATCTCATTTGGTTAAGCCCTAGGAAGTATGCCGAGGTAAGAAAATACAGTACTACTGATCACGACTACAGGCTTTGACAAAATCTGGACTACAAAGGCAATACAGGCACTGGGAACAAGAGTAGGTAACAATCTCTGCATTTAAGCATTCCTGATGAGCTTAAGTTTTCGTCAGAGCTTGCTGAAAGAACTTACTTCAGTCTTCGAAGTTGACCTCAGTATGATCTGGATGAAAATCTGTAATATTTAAGCTTGAGAGCTACTAAATGTATTCATGAACTAGGATAGAAGTTCAGTTAAGAGCAGGATGCAAGTTCAAAAATCTGGTGGAACATGAATTCCTGATCATGTGGATCAAGTCATGTGGACTTTGGTCTTCAAAAGCCATAAATCTATATATTCAGAAAACTAGTACAAAAAACTAGTATCTTGAAATAGCTTCATTCATTCCATCAGTTTAGTCCTGCAGAAGTTAGCAAAAGGATTTCTACAGACCTCTCTGGTAACTGGACTGAAGACCTGAACATCTTTAATATAAAAGCACAACACCTTGATACATCTTTTCAAACATTCTGTGAGAAGCAGCACACTCACCTCAGTCTCCAGGAATCTTCGCAACGCTCTCTTCTTTTTAATGCTTTTGCGCCGAACATACACTGCAAACGTCAGGCCCACAATGACGATGATGAAGAGGCCACCAATAACTCCCGCAGCAATCAGAGGGGTTCTAGCAATCAAAATCAGAAACTTTATTTTTTAGGTAGAGTGAGAGACCAAAGAATGGTTTGGTACATAAATCAAATTAAAAGTTAAGCAAAGCTTATTAACTGTCTTACGACCAGAATTTCTAAGTCAGTCTAAATGGGAAGTCAGGGCAAACACATTAACACATGGTACAACTTTTCTTGGTTTTCATCAATATTGCAGTTCTACTTTTTTCAAACCACCATGCACATGTGAGGAGTTGTGTGGACAAGGAGACACAACATGCACTTTGATGGTAAACGCAAATCTGCAATGGCAAAATGAGGATACAGGTATCTGCAGTTTTCCTGCAAGAGCTTTAACTATGCTTACTCTTTGGTCCCATCTAGATTAATTCATGGGCTTGTGCATTTAGGGAAAAACAAACTAATGAAAAACTCCCGAACTACCAATACGATGTGCCTTCCTGAGTATGGAGGAAGTGAGAAGAAGCTTCAAACACGGTGTTTCACTCATACACCTTCCTCAAGGGGAAGATATTTATGTATGCACAGCGTAAGTCATGACTAGAACCATGCACTCTCTTGGAACTCCTGGTTCATTACTACTGCACACAAACATTTTGGTCAGAAGCTACGGTTGCACCCATCTGGTTTTGCTGTGGCCTTTCAGCACAGCCAAATCCTGGACCAAAAGAGTGGTGTGTTGGAGCCAAAAAACTCCTGTGAACAATGCCAAGCAACAAGGCTCGGCTTTTGGACAAGACCTGTTGTTCCCTTCCTACTCCTGTAACTCCTTTCGGCTTTCCAGGCTCTTGAGCACGATGAGCTACAATTACTAATTATTTTTTTCCACAGTGATAAGATACAGTAGGCTGGCATCACGGTAGGCACTATGCAAGCACAAAACTAGAAGACTGTCTCAGAGAGTCACTCTGTTTGACTTAGGTGCCCGCATCTGGAGATCGCCTACGCAGCCAGTGAAGCGAAGCAGGCTCCCTCCTAAGAAAATGTCAAAGTAATGGCTTTGCTTTCAGTTTTCTTTCTGACTGAAACAAAAGACAAACTCTGACTCAGTTTTCTTTCTCTCTCCCTCTGCTCTGTCTCTAAAGGATGGGTGGCAGCCTTCAAGCTAAAACCTTAAATTAGGCATTTTCACAGAATACCAACAACTTACTAGCATAAACACACAGCATTTAACATCCCTCCAACCATGGCTGGACAGTAGCTGAGAAGATGGGTAAACAGAGACAGCATGAAAATTGCAGAGTATAAATCATGCTGAAACCACCGCCGAGTAACTGCAGGACACAGCTCAACTACTGTTAAGATTGTGAAGTATCACTGCTATGCTACAACCTTCCTCCATTATGTCTGAATGATGATGAAAGATACACTATGGCCTATTAATAAAAACGTACCACACAGCTATTAAAATTTTAAAAGGAGTCTCCCACAGAAATAGTAAACTGATTTATCTGACCCTTTATTCTTCATTTTATGTCGTACTGCAGAGCCAAGCAGCGGGAAGCAGTGCCACCTAACCTGGTCTGGTATATGAAGGTTTGTCTACATTACCAACAATAAGATTTTGAAGCCCATCTCTAAACTGTCCTAACTGTCCCTTGTCACTGCAGTTTGGCTCAGAGGGGTCTCAAAGCACACCACCTGGATTCATTTCAGATACCAACCAGAAGATATGTTTCTGAAGTGCACCTCTTGTGCTCCAAGCGGCATTAAGGTCCCACAGGATTAAACTCGAGCTAACCCAACACAAAATTCCCTGCAGTAAATATACCCAGACATCAGGACCATTTCATCCTGCAGATCCAATCCTGTTGTGCCACTCACTTCATGTTAACCGAGACAAAGCCTCACACTCCCACATCTAGTTATTAAAGCACTGTGTTTAAAGCCCCACTATCACGATTGCCCAGGGAAAACACATTAACATTACACAACACAGTAGGGGCTATTATAGTTCAAGACTATGATGGAAACCATAAAGCCTGCAAATAAAGGAAGCTGAATGTTGTCTGGCTGTGAAATGGATTATGGTATTTGGAAAATAAAAGTCCAGTACCACCTACTCCTCAGGCACAGTCACTCCTCCTTCATCTAGTTTGGCCTTAAGACACCTTCCTTTCTAATCCCATCGGTTACTCTGCCGATTCTGAGTGCACAGCTCAGATTGAAGGACCTGGCATACCCACCCAAAACAGAGCTCCGCTTCATGTGCGTGTGCTTTCCATGATGCTGATACAAGAAACTCTTTAATAGGCAATTATGAAAAACACTGGACATCAAAAGGCTTCTATGGAGCTAGCAGTGACTAACGTTCTTGAGCAGGGAACCTGTTGTGTTTTTTTGTGCACTGTATGAACAATCATATAACTTTCCACAAACACCACCAAAACACAGACTGACAAACAGGCAGGAGAACTCGGCTTTAAGGTACATGTTAATAACTATCGTAACAGCTGTCAAAATAAATAATTAGAGGTTTCTGGTTTTGTGTACACTAAAAAATGGTCCAAATGATATTTACATGGTAGACCATAATATGGAAACAGTTCCAAAGGAGACATAATAACTAGTGAAGAAAATAAAATGAAGTTACAAATTCCCTGCAGCTCTTTTATTGTTATAGAGTACAGGGGTTCAAAGTGAATCTTTATGATCCATTGTGTCAACTCTTATTTACTTTCAAAGAAAGCCCTCATCATTTTCAGTAGTAAATTGAAAAAAATGAAATAATTTTCAAAAACTTCACTAAACAAGTACTTAGTCATTAATATGAAATATGCTGTAATCGCATATTATATCAATGTCTTCAGAAGGCACCATCTGAACACGCTATTAAGCAAGCTTAAAAAGGGAGTCTAAGAGGAATAGTGTAACTTATAAGGGAAAAAACATTGAAATGCTAAACGAATAGCTGTAATACAGAAAAAGCTTTATTTTGAACTCAGTGATCAACTTCTTCCACTCTCAAGTCCACTATCCTCACACAAAAATCATGACAGACACAACCATCCCAGACCCAAACGGAGGCGACTGTACACCCAACAGCTGCTCCTCACTCTGCTACTCAGCTAAGCCCCAAAGTCAACGACCATGCCTTTTGTTTGACACAAGTCCAAGTGACAAGTCACTGCCTTCTGGTGTCACTAGGGCACTTCACTGTTGTTTCCAACCACATGTACATTATTTCCTAAGCTCAGTTTTCTGGGTGTCACCTACCTCATTTGAGTTATTTTTACTTATGTTCATTATGCTGACTTTGCTTTTCTAGCTTTCTGCTAACATCTTCAAGTCTCCTGTACAATTTCTCTGCTATTTTCATGTTTGCAGTGTCTTGTATTTAAGACTCCAGTAAACTTCATTAATATGGTGTTTACCTTTCTTTCACATAATGGTTAAGGTTGTTTAACACGATACCTGCATGGTGACACAGATCAGAGATGCTGCTGAAGACGTGAAACCCTTCTCCCATTTTGTTTTTTTAAATTCAGTCCCTTTTTTGCATGTGCACCTAACCAACAGTTCAGCTTCACATACAGCAGGACACAAATTTCCTTATTTCTAGTGGCATTAAGGGCTTAGTCCACTCACAGTTTTTTTACATTCCTGTTCCACAACCACCTCTGTGAATGCAATTTGCTACACTGGCCCACCTCAGACTACTGCCTGCTTAAAACTAATTCCAGGAAAGTTAACAGGAGCGATGTTGATGCAGAGACAAAAATTTCACTATCAGAAAACACCATTTTGTTAAAGACATTTTTAAAAGCATGGAGGCCCCATTTCGCTGTTAGGGCTCTGAAAGGCTACAGTCAAGCAAAGTGAGATAGTTGCACGTCAGTCCTGCCCATCCAGCATAAATAATGGACAGCTGAAAGCTGATCCCAGTTCACATTTCTTTCAGCTCCACTGTGAACCCACCAACAGGAAACTCCTGATACAGCTGCTACCTCACACACTGAAAATCTAACCCAGAGGATGAAAACAATCTCTGCTAGGTGTTTCTGGATTTTTATGCTTATCAAAATTGACTTAGGAGTCCAAGAAACGCAGCCCTGAATCACAATTCAACTCCATATAATTAATTCGCTATCCCGCACCCTTCCCTCAGCTGAGGACAGAATATCCGATTAATGACTGGAAAAGGAAGCAGCAGGAGGGAAAAACCACAACCTGTGAAAAGTCCTGCCTTTTAAACTGGGAACTGTGTATCTGTGGCTAAAAGTTGAAAGTAAGATTCTAGTATTCCCTTAGGAGAAATGAATAATGTATATTTCTTTTAAAACATGTGCTGTGTTTTCGTATTTAGCAGCATGTAACACCCACTCCCACACACCAAAACTGAGACAAAAAGTTCAAAGTTAGTCTTCTAAGATGGACAAGGACACTCAACAGGGAGGCTCGTATCGTTCCATCCACTCCAAATCATCAAAACATCTACAATTCCCACAGTGCTTTGAGATAGGGTATTAAAGCCTAATTACTGATTTAGATGAGTACACGGTCTCCTACCCTTGACTGGAGAGCGCAGTAGAAGGGGAAAACAGAATTGTGGTCCATGGAGTAAAGCTGAGGAAGAGCACCTGTTTTTCTGGTTTTGGCATTAACCCATCTAGTATGCCATGTAAATAATCAGAGCTTTGAAGCTAAGCTGTTAGAGGGCTTTAAATTCCTGTCTCAACCATCCCCACCATCCCCTCCTTTGAGTTTTATCTAGATATCCAAACAGGATTCGTTACAACCTTGAATATTTGCTAATTAGTCACTTCTGGTAAATTTTCATTATCAAGGCAGTATTTTTTTCCTGATGGAGGATTTGTACATTCTGTATTCCTCACCCCTTCCATCAGTGGGGAGTTCAGCTGACTTTGAAGCTGTACTTTTAGAGATCTAACAGATTCTGCTAATCCTGGAACGATAATCTTAGTATTTAAAATATACAAGATAAACAAGCCAGACTGGGAAGAAAATTTGTGTATGTTTTAATAACTTTTCTCTG